CTCTTCTCCCCTCCCCGCCCTCTCCCGCTCCATCTCCAACTCCTCTCTCGCACTCAGGGCCCCGCGGGCCGCCCAGGAATCCCGGGCATGGACGGAGTCCGGGGTCCCCCGGGCACGGTGGTGCTGATGCCGGTGAGGAGCTGCTGCGTGGGGCGGAGCCAGGGGCGCGGGCCGTTGGGGGGCGCTATCCCGCGGGCTGCCTCACCCCTGTCCCTCCCCAGTTCGGCTTTGCAGGCAGCTCCCTGAAGGGACCCCCAGTGTCCTTCCAGCAGGCGCAGGCCCAGGCCGTGCTGCAGCAGACCCAGGTGAGGCGCGGGGCGCGGCCCGTGCGGGTGACGGTGAGGAAGGTCGGGACCCGGGGGCGGCGTCCGTTCCCGGGATGCTGGGTTCCTGGAGGTGGAGCGAGACACAGGGCTCCAGCACCTTGGGTGTCATGGGACTTTCTTCCCGTGGTGAGGCCACCTGTGCCGTGTGGGAGCCGCCCTCACAGCCTCGCGGTCCTGTCACCTCCAAAGGTCTCCTGCAAATGCCGTGAACATGAAGAGCAAATGTCCACACAGAGCCTGTGTGCTGGCCCATGCCCGTGACCCCACTATTGAATCAGGCTGAGGCAGGAGGGTCGCAAGTTTGAATCTTGCCTGGGCCTCTGAGGGAGACCCTGTCTCAAAATAAAAAATAATATAAAGGGCTGGGGATGTAGCCCACTGGTAGGGCATCCTGGGTTCAATTATCAAGGCCACCACCACAACCGCTACCACACTAAAAAAAATTCTAACATGAACTGGGGGGAGCGGGGGGTGGGGACGGTTGAAGCGCAGCAGTGCTGGGGGGCTCTTGGGGGTCTCATGGAGACTCGAGGTTCTGTTCCCCTCTGTCTCCCCAGCTTTCCATGAAAGGGCCCCCTGGCCCAGTGGGGCTCACCGGGCGCCCAGGGCCTGAGGTGAGTAAGGAGCCAGCCTAGAAGGGGGGCCCCACGACCGAGGGCCCCCCTGACCACGCCCTCGCCCCTCCCCCTCCCCAAGGGTCTCCCCGGATACCCCGGCCTGAAAGGAGAAGCAGGAGAAGTGGGGCCACAGGTGAGATGGGGGTGGGGACGGAGGGAAGGGGCCGCCCCAGGGGCGCGGGGTCGTGAGGCCAGGGGAGCGGAGCTCGGCGTGGCCCTGCAGCAGTGGCCCGGCCTAGGCACCGGTTTCTGCTTTTCATTATTCCTTTCTTTCTCCTTTGCTCATCTTCCAGGGGCCCCGAGGGCTTCAGGGACCTCCTGGGCCCCCTGGCAGAGAGGGCAAGCGGGTGAGTAGCTCACAGTTGCCAAGACAACCTAGAGACTTCGCCCAGTGAGGCACGCATGCCCCTGTTTGTAGCAGCACAACTCACGATAGCTGAAGCCTGGAAGTGGTCTGTGTGTTCATCAGCAGATGACTGGCTAAAGCAAGTGTGGTATTCACACACCCTGGAGTACTACTCTGTCATGAAGAAGGATATACTTGAGGCATTGGTAGGAAAATGGCTGCACCTGGAGACTCTCAGGTCAAGGGAAAGATACCAGACACACAAGCTTCCAGATCACATGGCTTTTCCTGTAGGAGGAGCTCAAAGTGGAAATCAGTTCAGGAACAAAGTGAAAACGAGATGGGAGGAAACGGGAGCTCGAACTTCTCCGAAAGGGAGGGGAACGGAGAGATGGAGGGCGGGGAGCAGAGAGGGCGGAGAGTGAGGGTTACGCCTCGCGCATGCGCGCACGTACACCCACGTCTCCCCATGAGCAATAAGCACCAAACCAACAGGCAGGAGAGCAGGATGCTCTCCACCTGCCCCCGGGCCTTGCTGCAGGGTCTGCCGGGCCCCTCCCTGAGCCCAGAGGCAGGCAGAGAGACGCCTGAATTCGAGGCCAGGGTCCTGGCGCTAGGGAGGAATTGCAGTGCTAGTGTCCGACCTGAGACCTGAATGTGACCGCGTGGCAGGCAAGGAAGGGCGTTCTAAGCAGAGGGCAGCGTGCGCGCGCGAGAAGCCCGGCCAGATGCAGTGGCGCACGCCTGTTGCCACTCCTGCTACTCAGTAGGCTGAGGCAGGAGGGTTGAAAGTTTGAGGCCAGTCTGGGTAACTTAGTGAGATTTTTGTTTGTTTTGTTTTTTGAGACAGGGTCTGGTTGTATAGCCCAGGCTGGCCTCCAGCTCGTGGCGATCCTCCTGCCTCAGCCTTCCAGGTGCTAGGATGACAGGCGCGAGCCACCAAGCCTAGCAACTTAGCAAGATCCTATCTCGAAATTAAAAATGTAAAAGGCTGGGGGCATAGCTCAGTGTGAAGGTTGGTCCTGGGTTCAATCCCCAGTGCCATGTGCACGCACACACACATACACACACACACACACACACGGAGCAAGTGGGTGGCTTTGAGGTGTGTTGGGAATGCCTTGATGAGGTTGGTGACAGTGTGGCTAAGTCTCCCAGGAGTTTTACCCTTGACTCTTGGCCTCTGTCCTCCAGGGCCGCTCCGGAGCAGACGGGGCGCGGGGGCTCCCGGGAGACACAGGACCCAAGGTGGGTGTCGCGGCCAGGACCGGGAGGGGGCGTCCAGCAGGGTCCCGGGCTCAGCCCATTGAGTGTCTCCCCTGACAGGGTGACCGGGGCTTCGACGGACTCCCAGGGCTGCCTGGGGAGAAGGGACAGAGGGTGAGTGTGCAGCCCCCACTCGGGGCCCCCTTTCCTCTCCGCCCTGGTGTCTGGCCCCCCTCACGTCCCATCTCCACGCTGACCTCCCTCTGTCCTTCCTCCAGGGCGACTTCGGCCCCATGGGGCAACCTGGCCCCCCGGGAGAGGACGGTGACAAAGTAAGTGTTGAGGGGAGTGTGGGGGTGACAGTCCGCAAGGAGGAGAGCATTAGTGGGTGAGGGTGGGCCCTGGGGCCCAGGGGCCTCAGAAAGAAAGCTTGAAGCTGGGTGTGGCGGGTGGCGTGCGTCCGTCGTCCCAGCACTGAGTGAGGCTGAGGCAGGTGGGTCTCCAGTCTAAGGCCCACGGGAGCCGCTTAGCCAGATATTGTTTGAAGATAAACAGTGAAAAGAGGGCCGGGGATGGAGCTCAGTGTGAAGGTCCTGGGTCCCGTCCCCAGTAGCAGAAGCAAGAAAACTGAACCCAGAGAAAAAGACCGGGGCCCAGAAGTCAGACTTGGGATCACAAGTCCAGGATGGGAGTGGAATCCATGCACCCCGTCTGTGGAATCCCCGAGAGAGCACTAGAGCTCTGAGGTTCCCTGGAAGGGCCACCAGGCTGAGGGCAGGGGGTCCCTGAGGGGTTGGGCCCTTCAATAATGCCACTTTCCCACAGGGAGCAGAGGGGCCCCCGGGGCCCACTGGCCAGGCTGGGGAGCCGGTGAGTACGGGGCCCCCAGCCCCCTGCTTGGGACGGGGTAGGTGGGGACCCCTGGAGTCCTGGGACCACGCAGAGGTGAGGTCAGGGTAACGCATCTCCTTCCCCACAGGGCCCCCGAGGTCTGATCGGCCCCCGAGGCTCCCCCGGCCCCCTGGGACGCCCGGTGAGGATGTCACTTGCTGTCCCCATCCCCGTCTGACCCTTCCTGGCCCGCTGCTTGTCCACCTCTGCTGTCCAGCGTCTTTGCTCACCTTTCTGTCTGCACCCAGGACCCTGGCTTGTCCCATGCTAACGTCATCTCCCGTCTTCCCCAGGGTGTCACCGGAAGTGACGGCGCTCCTGGCGCCAAAGGCAATGTGGTACGTGTGCTCCGACTGCCGCCTGGTGCCGCCCGCACTCTTGAGTCTGTGATTGTCAGTTTTCTGTTATTATTATTTTATGCAGTACCTAGGATCAAACCCGTGTCCTTCCCATTGAGCTCCATCTTCAACTCTCGTTATCTTTTAATTTGAGACAGCGTTTCACTAAGTCACTAAATTGCCCAGCGTGGGCTACAACTTGGGACCCTCCTGACTCAGCCTCCCAAGGTGTTGGGATGACAGGCGTGTGTCACAGCACCTGGCTATATCAGCTCCTCTGGCCCTTGACACCGCGACCTCTTCCAGCTTTACCAACCCCTGCTTTCTCTGCAGGGTCCGCCTGGAGAGCCAGGGCCACCCGGACAGCAGGGAAACCATGGGGCCCAGGTTTGAGACATCTTTTGGACAGTGGGGGTGACATTAGACCTCAGCCTCTCCCTGCCTCCTGCCCTGGCACTCCCTGCCTCTACCTACTCAACCCCGCCCTCTTTTTCTGTCTCCAGGGCATCCCCGGCCCCCAGGGACCCATCGGCACCCCCGGGGAGAAGGTAAGCCCTGGCACTTTCACCACCTCTCCCATCATCTCCCCGACTCTGTTGCCAGAAAAATCTTCATGCCGGGGGCCTGCTCTGTGATCATCACCAGGCTGGCTCAGCCAGCCCAGAGTGACAAAGTGACTTTGTTTAGGGAGGGCTGAACGCAGGAAACAGAAGCCCCCCAAGGCCGGATTACACAAGGGGACGTTGTCAGGACTGAGAGGGGCCCTAGCACCCTGGGCGGGAGGCTGTGCCACCCCGGGGCACCTGGGCCCCGTCCGGCCCCTGGCAGATGGACTCCTTCCCGTGTGTGTCCCCGTTTGTCCTCCTCCTTCCCAGCTGCGGTTTCAGCACAGCTTGTGTGCTGCTGCGTCACCATTTCTGGCCCCGGTTCCTGTGATCGTAGATCTTCACCCAAAGCCATCTGTGTTTGTCGCGGCTTTTCAGTGCTGGGACAAAATCCCTGTTAATGAAAAGAGGCGAGGGTTAATGTTGCTCACAATTCAGGAGGGTTCAGTCCGCGGCCACTGGCTGCAGGGCAGAGTTGCCGTGGTGAAAGGGCCAGGGAGGAAGGGGCCGGGGACCAGACAGCGTGAGACTCAAAGTCTCAAAACGTGAGACTTTGGGGGCACTTTAATTCTACTCTATTTTATTTTGAGACAGGGTCTTGCTAGGTCACTCAGTTGTCTAGGTGGGGCTCCAACTTGTGATCCCCCTGCCTCAGCCTCCCGAGCGCTAGGATGACAGGTGTGGGGTACCACGCCTGCCGTGGGAGGCACTTTTAAAGAGAGGGATGTAGCTGGGAAGCCCTCTGTCCCGGCAGACTTCTCACACTGGTTGTCTTACTGTGTTTGTGTCCGGGGCGCTGGGGATGGTGCCCAGGACTGCACATGCTAAGGAAGCGCTCTACCACTGAGCCACAACCCAGGCTTCTCACGCTGTGGTACACCCCTTCTCTCAACCGTCTAAGGGCAGTGGGTCTGTGTCGCTCAGAGAGGGCAGGGGAATTCCTTGGGACACACAGCAAGTCAGGACAGAGCTGAGACAGGAAGATTTCCTGAGCTTGAGGTGGCCGCCTGCCTGGGCAGAGCCATCCTGTTCCTGATGGAGCCCCAGGGCCCTGAGACCCTGTTTCCCTGTCCACCTTCTTTTAGGGTCCCCCCGGAAACCCAGGCATTCCAGGCCCCCCAGGAGCTGATGGCCCTCTGGTGAGAACCGGGAACTGAGACATGGAGGAGAAAGGGGAGGCTTGGTTTGGGGATTTGGCAGGTGAAGCTTGGTCTTTGGTGACTTCCCCTATTTCTTCTTCAGGGTCACCCGGGCCATGAGGGTCCCACAGGGGAGAAAGGGGCCCAGGTGAGTGACAGGGGAGGCCGCTTGAGTAGGAGGGACGGAGACAGGGCCAGGGGGCAGGGGAGAAGAGTGAGAGGGATGCTGAGTTAAAGGGAGACAGAGCAAAGTGACACTAACCTTCTCTTCCTGTCAGGGGCCACCAGGCTCGGCAGGGCCTCCAGGCTACCCTGGACCCCGGGGTGTGAAGGTAGGTGACACTGGCTTGCAGCCTGCAGGTCAGGGAACCATCTTTGCCAGAAACTTCCAGATGGAGGAGCTGGGCGTGGTGGCGCATGCCTGCTATCGTAGCACTTGGGAGGCTGAGGCAGGAGGATCGTTGTGAGTTTGAAGCCACCTGAGCACAGTAGTAGCAATGCTAGCAGTGGGGACATTCTGAAGAGAAGCTGTAAAATGCTTCCTTTAAATGAAAAAGTGAAAGTACAATAAGATGTTTTTGGGGAGAGAGAGAAATGGGGGAGGGATGGGAGGAAGGGAGAGAGAGAGGCTACATTCATATAACTTTTCAACAGCATATTTTAATTATTGTTTTATTATTAGTTGTTGTTATTCTCTCCACGTAATTTTTAAGTTAAACCTTCACAATTACGTAAATAGAGGAGAAAACGTGGTATATATAGGAGTCAGGGGTTGTGGCAAACGCCTGTCATCCCAGTACTCTGGGAGGCTGAGGCAGGAGGATCACGAATTCAAGCCCAGCCTGGACTACTTAGTAACTTAGTGAGACTCTGTCTCAAAATTTAAAATAACAAATAGGCTGGGCACATAGCTCCGTGTGAAGCCCCTAGGTTCAATCCCTAGTACTGCAAACAAAAATCTGAACCCTAACCCTAGCCCTAACCCTAAACAAAAACCATAGCATATCTGGGGGTAGGTACATGGTTTCAGGTCCCGGTGGAGTCTGGGGACCTGTCCCTGCAGATAAAGGGGGACTGAGCCTAGTTGAAGCTGGTGTTGTAGCTGAATCTAGTTACATTGTAGCCGAGGCCAGAGGACAATTGTCGCCACAATGACCGCAGAATTTATGCTGTGGTCCTGTGAATTGCTGTTGCCCAACACGTAATTACCTTGTGGCCTTGAGCTTGGTTACATTGTAGCCCTGCTGAGCCTGTACCAACCTCTGCAGTGCCCTTGTGAGCGGCCCTGGGAGACATTCTTCTGCCTTGAGAATGTGGTTGCAGTTTGGAACGGTCCTCCTCCTCCAGCCAGAGCAGCGCTGGACACAGTGTCCCCGGGACACGGGGATCGATGCTTGGAAAGTGGGCCTTTCCTGCACACCCCACACGCAGGACCCTGGGATGCAGCTAGGGACAGAGGGGGCAGCGGGTGGGCACTGGCAGCTCTGGGGATGGATCATTTCCTCCGTGTCGGACCCCCACCCCCCTCCTGTGGTCCGCGGTCCTCTTGGGACAGTTCTGGCTATTTCAGGCAGGGGACCAAACCTGGACACTTGTTGATCAGGGAAAGAGACTGAGAGCTTTTTAGTTTTATTTTTTAGTTTTTGAGCCAGGGTCTCGCTATGCAGCCCAAGCTGGCCTCAAACTCGTGGCGATCCTCCTGCCTCAGCCTCCTGAGGGCTGGGATGATGGGTGTGCACCATCATACCCAGCTACTGAGAGCTTTTTGAAATTTTATTTTGCAGGGTACCTCCGGCAATCGAGGCCTCCAAGGAGAAAAAGGAGAGAGGGTGAGCGAGGAGGGGATTCTTTGGAGGGGAGGGAGCCCCACTGTGGGGTCCTGGCTGTGTCCCTTGCCTGACCTCTGCCGCTTTCTCTCGCCCAGGGAGAGGACGGCTTCCCTGGCTTCAAGGGCGATTTGGGCCCAAAAGGAGACTGGGTAAGGCGAGCAGCAGCAGAGGGGTGTGGGTGGGTCTGGGGCTCTGGGGGAGCCAGTGAGGGGGTGAGCTGGGGGGCCCGAGGGAGCAGGAGGGACAAAGGCTGACATCAAGGCCCCTCTTCTGTTCCAGGGACAGCCAGGGCCTCCCGGACCCCGCGGAGAGGACGGGCCCGAAGGCCTGAAGGGGCCGGAGGGGCTGGCGGGCGAGGACGGGTCCCCGGGCGCTGCTGGGGAGAAGGTGAATCCTCCGTGGTCAACCCTCCCTGCAGTCAGGGTGCTCCCTGCCTTGGCCTCTGTCCCCCCTTTCGTGGTGGGGGTTGGGATCCAGACCCCCCCAATGCTAGGCAAGCGCTCACCACGGGCCACACCTCGCTCCCTGCGGCCCTGGTCTCCCACCGCAGGAGGCGGGCAGCACCCTCACCTTGCCTCTTAATCCCTCAGTTCAGCACTGCGGAGCAGCCCCCAGCACAGATCTGATTTGTATTTCTAGAGCAAGAAGCTATTTTGATGGATTGGTTGGTACCAGGGAACGAACTGAAGTCCTTCGCACTGAGCTACATCACCAACACTTCTAATTTTTTTTTTTTTTTTAAATTTTGAGACAGGGCTTCCCCAAGTCATTAAATTGCCCAGGCTGGTCTCAAACTTGTGATCCTCCTCCTTCAGCCTCCCAGAGGGCTGGGATTAGAGGCCGCGCCACCGCACCCAGGGCAATAAGGAAGTTGAGATTGCTGTAGTTGAATGCTCTCCCCGAGGACATGCACCCACCCCCAAGCGGTAGCCAGGACTTGAACGCAGTTTCTCTGGTTCTCAGGGTGCAGCCGCAGCCATCCTGACCTTTCCCCTCTGACCTTTGCCCTGTAATCTCCCTGCAGGGCAATCTTGGTGTGCCGGGTCTCCCAGGATATCCTGGACGCCCAGGACCTAAGGTAGGAAGCCAGGGAGCAGGGGTGGGCGGGGCAGGGGCCAGGGACCAATAGGGGTCCTGGCTGAGGTCTGAGGGTGAGCTGTCCAACTCATGGGTCACTTGAGAGGGTAAAATATGGGGTTTGGCATCAGATGGACAAGTGTTCAAAGAGCGCCTTGTTACTGGCAACACGATTTTTGAGTCTGTCTCCTTTTTTGAGACAGGACCTTGCTATGTAGCCCAGGCTGGCCTTGCACTGTCAGGGATCTTCCTGCCTCAGCCTCCTGAGTGCTGGGATGACAGGTGTGCACCACCACACCTGGCCAAAGCACTGTATACATTTGTTTGCTAGCATTTTGATGGATGAGGATACTGATGAGATTTATCTGTCTGCCTAAACCACACCCAGATTACATGATGAGTGAGTTATCACTGGCTGTTTATGGAAAGTAGATCAGGAATTTAAAGGTACTTGGAGACAAATGTGAGTGCAGAATTAGTTCAGATTTGCATCTCTTCCCCCGTCTTAACCACCCTGGTTATCTTGTCTATACCTAATTTGACAGCAACTTTTTTTTAGTGACTTCTTTTTATATTGAATCTGTTCCACTCAATTCAGGTTTAATACACAGCTTTCTTTTCCTATCTGTATTTCATCAGTTCTTACAAATTTTCATTTAATCCCATGACCCTGTGACAAGTATTGAGGATATAAACAGGTTTGGGGATAAATTCATGACATCATAGCCAAGTATAGAACTTGACCTGTGAGAGCAGAGGCTCATGGGAGTTGAAGAGAGAAGCTGCCAGCCAGAGACCAATCAGTGTGTTAGCCGTTCAGGATGAGGGCTGTGACATACTGGGGAAGCCGAGGTTGGTAACAATCACTATGCAAGCCGGGCATGGTGGCGCATGCCTGTAATCCCAGCACTTGGGAGGCTGAAGCAGGAAGATCATTGTGAGTTCGAGACCAGCCTGGGCTACAAAGTGAGGTCAAGGCCAGCCTGAACTGTAGAGTGAGACCCTGTCTCAAAATGACACACACAAAAAAAACGAAAAACAAAAAAAATAATCATTATGCATAACAACAGCACATTAGTGAGCTTCCCATTGCTATAAAGAAATACCCGAAACTAGGTGTGGTGGTGGACACATATAATCACAGCACTCTGGGAGGCTGAGGCAGGAGGATTACAAATTTGAGACCAACCTGGGCAACTTAGCAACTTAGGGAGATCTTGCTCAAAACAATAAAAATGGCTGGTGATGGAGCTCAGTGAGAAGGTCCTGGGTTCCATCCCTCTACTGTCAAAAAAAAAAGTTTATTTTGGTTATGGTTTTAGAGATTTCATCCCACCTGGGTGAGGTGGCACATGCCTGTCATCCAGTTCCTTGGGAGGCTGAGGCAGGAGGATCATTGCAAGTTGGAGGCCAGTGTGGGCTACATAGTGAGTTCAAGGCCAGCTGGGATTACATAGCTAGGCCATGTTTCAAATCTAGGCCATGTTTCAAATCAACAACAACATGCGAGGTGTGGTGGCGCGTGCCTGTAATCCTAGCACTCGGGAGGCTGAGGCAGGAGGATTGTTGAGAGTTTGAGGTTAGCCTGGGCTACCAAGTGAGCTCAAGGCCAGCCTGAACTGCATAGCGAGACCCTGTCTCAAAAAGACAAAAATAAATAAATAAATAAATAAATAAAATGAACAACAGCAACAACAACGGAAGAGAGAGAGGGGTCCCAAGCTCCTTTGAGGACATGCTGCCAATGACCTGTAGACCTCTCTGTAAGTCCCACCTCCTACAGGCTGCCAACGCCTTCCAGTAGCGCCACCTTGGGGATGAAGCCTGTAACACATGGGAGACCCCGGCCCACAGAGGTCCTCTGATGTTTCCTGATCATTTTACTTTGTACCAAACAGCATGTTGAGCACTTTCTGCCCCTGACCCTATCCCAAAACCTTGCAAAGAAGGTTTCATTGGTATCCCAGGCTACACATACGGAAACTGGTGCTTGGAGCTGCTTAAACGCTTGTCCAGAGCCGCCCAGACCCAGTTTGGCTAGGGGAGGGTCCGGGATTGAGACTCAGATAAAAATGATAAAGTGTTGTTTTTTTGTTTTTAAGAGTCCACTATGTAGTTCAGCCTGGGCTTGAACTTGCAGTGATCCTCCTGCCTCAGCCTCCCGAGTGAGTGCTGGGATTATAGGTGTGTACCACCATACCCAGCAAGAATGATAAAGTGAAGTGATGCTGATAAAGCCCTTAGCATAATGTCTCACACAGTGTAGGCGCTCTGGGAAGGAGAGCTTCAATCAGGGCAGAAATGCTGTTGCTTGGTCAGAAACTGAGTCTTCGGTAATGAACTCAGATTCTGACAAGTCTCTGTGTGCATTTGTGCAGGACTGCGGTGTCCTCAGACAGGAAGGAGGAGGGAGGGCCTTGGAGGCTGGGGCAGCACACGGCGGCTGGGTGGCTTGGACAAGTGTCTGTGCTGCTGTAGACTCAGTCTGCACAGAGGGCTGGGGAGGGACATCTGAGCTCTGCGACATCTACTTCCTCCAAAATCCTCAGCACGTGGGCTGGAGTTGGTTAGGTAGCAGCTTTTTTGGGGAGGGATTCTAGGATTGAACTGGGGGCCTTTGCACTGAGCTATATTCCCAGTTCTTTTTGTTGTTTTATTTGGAGACAGGGTCTCACTAAGGCGCTAAGTTGCCCAGGCTGTGTTCACATTTACCGTTCTCCTGCCTCGTGTTCCTGGAGTGCTGGGATGACAGGCGTGTGCCACCATGCCCAGCAGATACTGAATAGGTACTCACGAGGTGCCAGGCGGTGGGAAGACCGCTGCACTCTGTCCTCATGGTGTGAGGCAGACATTGAATAAGGAAGCAAGCGAATACGGTCATTTGTTGTTGTTACTTTTGTTTTTTGAGATAGGGTCTCGCTAGGTAGCCCAGCCTGGCCTCAAACTTGTAGTGTTTCTCCTGCCTCAGCCTCCCAAATGCAGGGAATACCGATGTGCACCACCAAGTCTGGCTAATACAGTCATTTTGATACAAGTATTTGAAATGAAAACTGGATTGATGTGCTGTTTTGTGATAGCGAAGGATGAGTTGGAGGAGGTAGTGGTCAGGAGGATGGCAGAAGAGCAGCCAAGTGGCATCTAAGTGATGAGCAATAGCCGGCTTTGTGGAGGTCTGGGAGGAAAGCATTTGAGGCCTAGGGAGCAACCTGTGCAAAGGTCCTGCGGCAGAAACATGTTTGTGTACCGACAAGCACTGTGGAGGCCAGTGTGGCTGCATGCAGCTAGAAGTGGGGAGAGGGAGACAAAAGGGGGCAGAGGCTGCCTTTGGAGGATTCTGTGGCTGGGGGGACCCAAGGAAGCCGCTGGAATTGAAGGCCTCAGAGGATGGGGTGAGGGGCCAATTCTGCCCATCTCCATCTCTTCCTCTGGTTCTTTCTGTGCAGGGATCTGTTGGATTTCCCGGGCCCTTGGGGCCACTGGGAGAGAAAGGAAAGCGGGTGAGTCACCGTCCTGGGGTGGGGCATGGGGAGGGTTTGTCTTTGGGGTGGGTGCTGGGGCTGCGTCTCTGCTTGGAAACATTGTGAGCACACTGTCTGCAAACAGGGTCCCGGTAGACGGTCACAGCTGTGACCGTGCGTGGGCCCGTGACCACACGCGTGTGCACGCGTGTGTCATGCACCTCACCGTGCGGACCAGGCAGGGTCTGTGAGCTGCATCCTGCCGGCCGAGCCCGGGTGGACAAGGGCAGGAGCCTGTCTGACAGTGCCCATGCGTGTGTGCATGTGTGTGTGTGCATGCGTGTGTATTTGTGTAGACAAGGACATGTGTTTCTGTGTGCGAGTGTGTCCACGTGCATGCCTTACACTTGTACCTCAGCTGGGTTCATGAACTTGATTCATTCCATGATTCTGGAAGAGATGGCCACATTTCTGTCCATGTGGGAAAGGATGGCCATGGTTGTGTGTGTCAGCTGATGCAGAGGTTGCAAATGAAAACAAAACTTTGGGGGTTGGGGATTTAGCTCAGCAGCACAGCGCCTGCCTGGCAAATGCGAGGTCATGAGTTCGATTCCCGGTACTGGAAAAAAAACAAACAAAAAAAACACCAAAAAACCCACAAAATTTTGCCAAATGCAGACCAAATTGTTCACAAACAAATGTGTTTACTGGGTGTGGTGGCACGTACCTGTAATCCCAGCACTCAGGAGGCTGAGGCAGGAAGATCGTTGCAAGTTCGAGACCAGCCTGAGCTACACAGTGAGCTCAAGGCCACCTGAACTGCATAGTGAGACCCTGTCTCAAAAAGACAAAAAACAAACAAACAAACGTGTTCATCATTGAGGGTGCCACTGTATATGGGCACATGTGCGTCGCAAGTGGGTAAACGGCCCGTGTGTGGTACATGGATGCGTGTACGTATACTGATATGTTTATCAGGACCACGTCGTCACAGGAACCCATGTGTGCTTGTGTTTGTGGGGGTGTAAATGGTGCAAACACCAGATGTAGTGGCACGTGTGCCTCTAATTTCAGTACTGGGGAGGCTGAGGCAGGACGATTGCTGTGAGTTCAAGACCAGGCTCTGGGCTACATAGTGAGTTCAAGGCAGCCTGAACTGCATAGCGAGACCCCCAAATCAGAAGTCAGTCGTGCAAGGGACATGTCCCATGACAAGCTCAGGGTATCGCGTGGCCTTGCTACGTGCATGCCACAGAGAGCCCCGCATGGCTGGGATGCTGTCTGGGCGGGTGGAGCTGGTGGTCTCTTCAGACCCCGTAGGTCCAGTCTGATGTGTCGTCTGCGATCTTTGCGTCATTGAGCGTGACCTGCATGTGTGTGTGCGAGGCTTGGGAGTGAGTGTGGGCCGGCATCCTCCTGGACGTGTGCCCGGCCCAGCGGTGTGATCCCCGTGCGCCCTGACTCTCCTGCTTTCCCTCCCCGGCTCACGTTTCAGGGGAAGGCGGGCCAGCAGGGGCAGGAAGGAGAGCGAGGACCACCCGTAAGCAGAAAGCGGAGAGGGTGCCGGGGGCTGTGAGGGCGGGGAGGACTCGGGCACGTCTGTGGCCCTGGGCGGGCGGGGGCATCGTGGAGGGAGGGGACCTGGACCTCATGTCATTGTCTAGGGCTCCTGATTTCTGTGCTTTGCCTCTTTCTGTCCAGGGCTCCCGTGGAGAGAGGGGGCAGCCAGGGGCCACAGGACAACCGGGCCCCAAGGTATGGGTTTGGCAGGCGATCAGGACCCTCCTGTCTCAGCTCCCCGGGACTCTACCCGCCTCACATCTGTTCCAGCTGGGTTTGTTCTGGGATCTGAATCTCTTTCACTCTGTCCCAGGGCGATGTGGGCCAGGACGGGTCCCCAGGAGTCCCTGGAGAAAAGGTGAGTGAGTGTGTGTGTGTGTGTGTGTGTGTGTGTGTGTGCGCTTTTGTGTGTATGTTTTTGAGCAGGGCACAAGCCCAAGGAGGCATCATAATGCAGAGGACAAAACGCAGTCCTAGCTCTGCTTCTCACCAGCTGTGTGCCCATGGGGAAGTCAGTTAACCTCTCTGTGCCTGATTTCCACACACACACGTTTTTTTTTTGGTGCTGGGAATTGAACTCAGGACCTCGTGCTTGCCAAGCAGGCGCTGTGCCACTGAGCTAAATCCCCAGCCCCAGCATTATTATTATTATTTTTAATTTTTTGTCTTTTTGAGACAGGGTCTCGCTATGCAGTTCAGGCTGGCTTTGAGCTCACTTTGTAGCCCAGGCTGGTCTCAAACTCGCAAGGATCCTCCTGCCTCAGCCTCCCGAGTGCTGGGGTAACAGGCATGCGCCACTACACCCAGCGAAATTATTATTATTATTGTTGTTGCTGTTGGTTTTTTTGAGATAGGGTCTTGCTATGTAGCCCAGGCTGGCCTCAGATTCGCAGCAATTCTCCTGCCTCAGCCTCCCAGGTGCTGGGGTTACAGGTGTGGCTAGAATTTATTTATTTATTTATTTATTTATTTATTTTTGAGACAGGGTCTCGCTATGCAGTTCAGGCTGGCTTTGAGCTCACTTTGTAGCCCAGGCTGGTCTCAAACTCGCAAGGATCCTCCTGCCTCAGCCTCCCGAGTGCTGGGATTACAGGCGTGCCACCACACCCATCTAGAAATTATTTATTGTGTGGAGTATTCGGCACGCAGTAGGTGCTTCTGTGTGCTAGCTCTCCGGGCATCGTGGGGTTGGGCGGAAGGCAGGCAGGAGAGGTGAGGTAATGATTTCTGCTTCCCTTTCAGGGCCTCCTTGGACTGCAAGGGCCCCCAGGGTTCCCTGGACCGAAGGGCCCCCCTGTGAGTGAGGTCACCCCAGTTGGGGGTCGGGTATAGGGAGACCTGGGGAAAGACTACAACCCTCTCCCACCTTGTCCCCCAGGGTCCCCAGGGCAAAGATGGGGTACCAGGGCACCCCGGACAGAGAGGAGAATTGGTAAGTGACCCTTTCACTTTGACCCCTGACCTTATTAGGCCCGCCCTTTCCTCCTCCCATGTGACACCCCCATTGTATTTTCCCTCCAGGGCTTCCAAGGTCAGACGGGTCCACCGGGACCAGCAGGTGTCTTGGGTCCTCAGGTCAGAGTGGACCCCATTTTGCACCAGTTGGGGGACCCTGGGAGGGCGCTGGGCCTGGGTCTCTGAAGGCCTACCCCAGGCCCCCTCAGGCAAACGCACCCTCTTCCTCTGCAGGGAAAGATAGGAGATGCGGGGCCCTTGGGTGAGAGGGGGCACCCCGGCCCCCCCGGGCCTCCTGGTGAACATGGGCTGCCGGGCCCTGAAGGCAGAGAGGGGGCCAAGGTGAGACCCTGCCTTGTGGCCGATGACCCCAGGGTCCCTTTGATGGCCCTCCGGCCTCCTAGGAGCTAGCAGCCCGCCCTTGGGGAGGTCCCAGGGTCACAGGTTTGCAGGAGACACCCCCTCTCTATAACCTGACCGCTGCTCTGTGCTCCCACAGGGGGAGCCTGGACCCTTAGGACCTGCTGGGAAGGAAGGGCCGCCAGGACTGAGGGGCTTCCCCGGCCCCAAAGGAGCCCCTGGGGACCCTGTGAGTGCCTTTTGGGGACCCTGCCACACGTGCCCGCGGGCCGTGCAGCGGAGAAGGCATTGGGCCTCAGGAGGGCAGAGCCAGGGCCCCCAGGGGGGTCTCTTGACTGTATCATCTCCTCCCTCAGGGACCCCCTGGATTGAAGGGTGACAAAGGTCCCCCTGGGCCTGTCGGGGCCAATGTAAGTAAAACCACTGTGGAGAGTGGGGTGGGAGGTGCAGGGGACACAGGTGTTGTCACGATGACGCTTGTCACCCTGGAGTCAGGTAGGCCTGTGGCACACTCAGTCCCGCTGTTCTTTGGCCGGGCAGTGGTGTCACCAGCAAGCCTCAGTCTCCTTGTCTGGAAGAAAGCCGTGATGAGATACTTCCTGTCTTATTCATATGCCTCAAACTCCTGGCAATCCTCCTGCCTCAGCCTCCTGAGTACTGGGCTGACAGATGCGCACCGCAACGCCCGGCTCTTCTTCTTCTTCTTCCAGTAGGATTCACCTGGGGGAGGCTCCTCCCTCAAGACCTTATCTAATCCCAGTCACTCTCCCAAATTCCCACCTCTAAACACCATAGATGACGGCCGCCATCTTACTTCTACAAATGGGGATTTCATTTCCACACAGGAACCCTGGGCGTGATGGACTGGGGCCCACACTCATGCCATATCCATGCGGCACCCCAACACATACCCGCCTGTGTGCCACACATCAACATATATTTTCTCCTGGAGCTTACATTCTAGTATAGCCAGACATGACAGCCAAAAAATAGGCCAGAAGGGAGGCTGAGGCAGGAGGATTGCTAGTTCGAGGCCACCTGGACTACACAGTGAGCTCAAGGCCAGCCTGTGCTCCACAGGGAGACCCTGTCTCAAAACAAACAAAAGCAAAAGCAACTTACCCTGACCCTCTGCTCCTGTTTCCAGGGCTCCCCTGGAGAGCGGGGTCCCCTGGGCCCATCAGGCGGCATTGGGCTTCCTGGCCAGAGTGGCAGCCAAGGCCCCGTGGGTCCCGCAGGCGAGAAGGGGTCCCCGGTGAGTGTGCTGCGTGCCCGCTTCCCTGGCAGCCCAGGGCCTGGCCCTGTGACACACAGGGGCCCTGACGAGGATGCATCGCTTTCCACCCCACCAGGGAGAACGAGGTGCACCAGGCCCCACCGGAAAGGACGGGGTCCCAGGCCCCTTGGGGCTTCAGGGCCCCTCGGGAGCTGCCGGCCCTGCAGGCGAGGAGGGGGACAAGGTGAGGGGCACAGAGCAGGGATGCGGTGGGGGGAGGGGGGCAGGGGGGGCTGGATTCTCCTCACACCATTTCCTCCGCAGGGCGAGGTGGGAGCCCCCGGCCACAAGGGCGGCAAAGGTGACAAAGGAGACGCGGTGAGTGAGGGGATGCTGGGGACAGGGGTGGCGCTGAGGGGAGGGCAGAGCAGGCCAGGGATGTGGAGGTGGGCGGGCATCAGAGGCCGCAGCGTGTCCTGCCTCCCTGAGTTCCCCCTCGATGGAAAGCCAAGCCGGGACATCTCTCTCCGTCCCAGTGAGGGTGGGGCCAAGCAAGATCGCTTCCGGGTGGGCGGGGCAGACTAACGGGGTGTGGTCAGGGAGGTATTGATGGACGTATCTAGGGCCCCAAGTCGTCCTCAACCAGGAACCTACAGGGATTTCCTGTTCTGTTCGCTCCTCCAGGGCCCTCCTGGACCCACAGGCATGAGGGGCCCCGTGGGACACCCAGGACCCCCGGTGAGTGCTCGAAGCTTTGTGACCTCCTGGGCCCTGGGCCCAGCCTCCACCCCACCATGCTCTATCTTCCTCTTTTTTTTTTTTGTCTTTTTGAGACAGGGTCTCGCTATGCAGTTCAGACTGGCCTTGAGCTCACTTTGTAGCCCAGGCTGGTCTCAAACTTGTAGTGATCCTCCTGCCTCAGCCTCCCAAGTGCTGGGATTGCAGGCATGTGCCACCACGCCCGGCTCTGTGCTCTATCTTCAATACCCCATGTCAACTCCAACCTTGACCCAGTCTCAGCTGTGAAATTCATGACCATGTTGGTGGCTCTGCTTGGCACCTGGCAAAGCCCTTTTTGCTGTCACACATGGCAAAGGGTGCCCCGTGGGTGACAGCAAGATGCCAGCTCAAACCACCAAACCACCAAGGGGACCCCACCCTGAGGACCTCACTTAGTTCTAATCCTGCAAATACCATTTAAGAGCCATTAAGACACCTGGGGTCTTCGCCCTCAGGAGGCTGAGGCGGGATCTCTGTGAATTCAAAGCCAGCTTGAACTGCATAATGAGACCTTGTCTCAAAAAATAAACAAATAATTCCATTAACACAGGAATCTGGGGATTAACTCTCAATCTGTGAACTTTGTTGTCCACCTGTTCAAGCCATGACAGGCCCCACCCTCAACCCTGACCCTAAACCACCCATCAGAACCCTGCTGATGCCCTTAACTTTGACCCAAAACTCAAGACTCACCATCTATGGCCAGCTCAAAACTTTCACCATAGCTGAGTACTCAGGAGGCTGAGGCAGGAGGACTGCTGTGAATTCAAGGCCAGCCTGAGCTGCATAGTGAGCTCAAGGCCAGCCTGCACTGCAGAGCAAGACCCTGTCTCAAAACAAACAAAAACCAACCTCCCCAGACAAATTTTGACCCAACCCTCAACTTCATTCCTGAACTAGGACCCTTAACCCAAATGAACCCCAGCTCTAAACCCAATCCTCACCCTCCCCAACATGAGCCCTGACTCCAACCCTTGACCCCGATCCTGACCTTTGACCCCACTCTACCTCTGACCCTTGGCCCCTACCCCAACTGTGCCCTGCTCTTGTCCCCTTCCCAGGGAGCTGACGGAGCTCAGGGACGCCGGGGACCCCCAGGCCTCTTTGGACAGAAAGGCGACGACGGAGTCCGAGGCTTCACGGGGGTGAACGGCCCCCCAGGCCCTCAAGTGGGTGCCTGGGCTTCGGGGGTGATGCCTCAGTCCCTGCCCCCACTCCGTGCTGCAATCTCTCTTCTTTGTTCCGCAGGGGCTGCCAGGCCCTCCCGGAGAGAAGGGGGAGGTCGGAGACGTGGGGTCCATGGTACGGGTGCCCAGGGAACGTGGGGGGAGGCGGAGTTGCAGGGTGGCGGGGACCTGTGGAGCCATTCGGGGGCTCATGGCCGCATTACCATTTTAAGGGTCCTGCAGGTCATTGGTAGCAAGGGTGCGGTCACCACAGCGTTTCCGGGGCTGTAGGGTCACGGGTACCTTTTGGTCCTCCCGCAGGGTCCCCATGGAGCCCCAGGCCCTCGAGGTCCCCATGGCCCCAGCGGATCAGAGGTAAGGGCTCTGGGCGCTCAGGGTGGGAACCCGCATTTCCCAAGACGAGGCTCTGGGGATCCCACGTGCTCACCTCTGTGCCCTGCTGCCCCTAGGGCCCGGTGGGGCTCCCTGGCGGCGTTGGCCAGCCGGGCGCCGTGGGTGAGAAGGTGAGTAGAGAAAGGGGTTGCGTGGGCTGGAGGAAATGTGTTCTTACCGGGGCGGCTGTTCTGGGGAGCCCCTCCCCGTCTGCTGGGGTCGACTGCTCCTCCTGCTCACATTGCCTCCTGCAGGGAGAGCCAGGAGATGCTGGGGACCCAGGGCCCCCGGGGCCCCCAGGAATTCAGGTGAGTGGCTGTGCGGTGTGGCCTCTGGATTCATCTCAGGGAACCCCTGACCCCTGGGCTTATCGGGCCAGCTTGACATCCGGGTAGCCCCAGGTCGCCCACTGACCTAGGACGTCTGGGCCTCCCTGGTTACCGCGGGGAAAGACCTCAGAGACGGCTGCTGTGTACAGTTGCATACACTGCTTAACCGTGCAGGGCTAACAGGGCGGCTGGGTACTCAAATTCAAACCATGAGGCCTGGCTTGGGGATGAGTGGCCCAGAGGGAGCCCCTTTAGTTCCCTTTGGGGGGCACACAGGGTGGACCAACTTTGCCCTTGATGGATGGGCAACTGGCTCATCGATAAGCCCTAGGTCTCTCTGACCTCTGACCATTGGGTAGCCTAAACCTAAGCCTCGGTCTGACCTCTGACCCCAAAAAAGTCCTGAATCCAGGTCTGCTAATTCTTGATTCTTGGAGAATTCAAACCAGTGTGACCTTTGACCTCTCTGTGCAAAGGGGCCCAGAGGTGAAGTTGGTGAAAAGGGGGACTCAGGTCCATCTGGTGCTGCCGGACCCCCAGGCAAGAAAGGTCCTCCTGGAGAGGACGGACCCAAAGGGCACATGGTGAGTCCTTGGGGCAGAGCTGGAGATGGAGGCAGAAACTGGGGGATACTTGAGTACCCTTGAGTCTCCCCAAAACTTCTAGCCAGGGTTCCCTTCCTCTAATTTGCTGATGCTGTGGGCAACCTGGATTGTGGCTGGCTGGCTGGAGAGGTGGGTGGATTAATGGATAGAAGGGTGGATAAATGGAAAGATAGAGGATGAATCAATGAACAAGTAAATGGAGGGATGAATGGATGATGGATGGATGAATGAGAATGAACGGATAGATGATGGATGGATGGATGGATGAATGGATGGAGGGATGGATGGATGGGTGGGTGGACTGATGGATAAATAGATGATGAGTGGAAGGAATCAATGATGAATGGATGGATTGATGGGTGGATGGATGGATGGATGGATAAATGAGTGAATGGATAGAGGGATGGCTGGATGGTTAGGTGGGTGACTGGATGAATGGACAGACAGATGGCTGAATAGATGAGCGCATGGATAAATGGATGGGTGGACGAATGGATAGTGGATAAATTAATGGACAAATGAATAGAGGGATGAATGGTTGATCAATGGATGAGGATGAGTGGATGGATGAGGGTGAATGGTGAATGGGAGGAAGGGATGATAAATATGATAAATACACGGATGAATGGATGGTGGATGGATGAATGGGTGAAGGAACAAATGACTAGATGGATAAATGGATGGCTGGACAGACAGACAGACGGATAAATAGATGAATGAAACATACACATACAGCACGTACATCACTGTGTGGGGTGGGAGTTAAGTTCACCTTGAGTCACTCTAGCCTTGGTGGAAAGACCAAGGGTGATGCTGGGTCAGATCTGGGGTTGGTGTGACTTCGGCATTGGGCTGTAGGTTGAAACCGCTCTGCAGTGTTGGTGTGGTTTGGGGTGGGGACAGGGCATCGGAGTGTGTGTGGTGCCACCTCACCTGCTCTGCCTGCCGTGTCCCCCCCCGGGCCCCGCGGTGCAGAGCTCAGGGAGGACGCGGTGAGGAGGCACACGGAGCATTCTTAGCTCAGTGCCTGCCCCATTAAACTCTGGGGCTCCCTCACCAGGGGGCTTCCACGTGCCCCAGCGTGCGCCTGCCAGCGTGAGCCGGAGCACGTTATCTGTGTTCAATGGCTCATCCCAACGCACAGAAGTGATCGCGGCTTTCTGTGTTTCAGGGCCCCACCGGGATGCCGGGAGATCTGGGGCCCCCAGGAGACCCTGGCCCTGCAGTGAGTGTCCCCCCTGCCCCCTCAAGCCTAGCACGTTCCCTCATTCTGTCCCCACCTCCCCCCAAAACCACAGACCTGGGCAAGGTCAGTGGAGCAGATACTTTCCTCCAAGCGCCGCCCCGACTCCTCGCGGACCCCCAAGGCCTGTCCGTGATCCCTCTCCATTCTCTCCCCCGGCCCCTGCAGGGTGCAGATGGCTCTCCGGGGGCCAAAGGAGACCCTGGTGATGTCGGGACACCGGTGAGTGTGTGGGGTGGATGATGGGTGGGCGGGGGGACCAGAGCGGGTGTGGGGCCACTGCACGTGCTCCTGCTTTGCCTCTGGGACCCCGAATGAGAGCAGCTTGGGGGTCCTCAGGAGATGGGGTGCAAAGTGGCGCTTTGGGGAGCTGTCTTCTGGTCCCTGGCATCCCCTGGCCACCAACACCAAGCTGCCCTCCTCCCCACAGGGGCCACCTGGTGCTTCTGGGGAACCTGGTGCCCCAGGACCCCCCGGCAAGAGGGTGAGTAACCACCCACCCCCGGGTGCCTGGGCTCAGCTCGAAGAACCTCATTAACTCCGCAGCCCCCGCTCACCCCCTCCCCTCGCCCGCCTTCCTTGCTCAGGGTCCCTCAGGCCGCGTGGGCCGAGAAGGCAGAGAAGGGGACAAAGGTGCCAAGGTGAGCGCCTGCCCAGCGGGCCCCGCGCTGGCCCCACGTGGGGCCTCGGGAGGGGACGGTACCTGTGACCAGCCAGGGTCCCCTCTCCCGGTGGCTCCAGGGTCGGGAGGCAGGCCCCCTCGCAGCCCCCTGACCCTCCTTTACCCCATCTGTTTCAGGGGGAGCCAGGTCCTGACGGGCCCCCAGGGAGGACAGGCCCCATGGGGGCACAAGGGCCCCCTGGACGTGCCGGGCCCGAGGGCCTTCAGGGGATCCCAGGCCCTGTGGTGAGTGGGGCGACCTTGGGGTGGAGGGTGCAGGGTCCCACCTTGCGCGTGCGTCATGGCTGGGAGGAGCCCGGGGGGGCGGGGGTGTCCACCCTGGCTGTGGCCCCTCACGGCCACTCTGTTCTGCCCCATCCGCAGGGCGAGCCGGGCCTGCTGGGGTCCCCCGGGCTGATGGGCCCTCCAGGCCCCCTGGTAAGAGACGGCTCCATCCCTGAGGTCCCAGCTCTGAGGGCCGCACTGGGCACCAGTGAGCATCAGGAACCACTGGCGCTGACCCCTCACTGACCGTGCACGCTGCCTGTCCCCTCTAGCCCTCTGTTCTGCCCGCCCCGTTCACGGCCCCCACCGACCCTCCACACGACCCTCCGTCTTCACGGCCTACCGGGTCACCCGTCCCGGTCCACCCTTCCTGCCCCCATGACCTGGGCCCCCCCCAGTGTCCCCACGACCACACCCGCAGTAGTTCCCACTGGGGACTCGGGGAATTCCCCCTTAGAGACACCTCCCACCGCCCCACGGGCCTCGGGCTTTCACGAGAGTCACCAACAACGCCGTGTCCTCCCCAGGGCCCCCCCGGCCTCCCAGGGCTGAAGGGAGACGCTGGCCCCAAGGGGGAGAAGGTAAGGGCGCCTGGCGCCACGCCCAGCCCAGAGCCGCCACGCGGCGTCCGCTCCTCCCCGGCGGGGAGCCCGGGGCGCCCCCTGCTGCCCACCTCACTGCCCCCCCCCCGGGCTGCCCACACCTGCCCTTCCTGCGCTCTTCTGTCCTCCAGGGCCATTTGGGACTGCAAGGCCTCATAGGTCCCCCCGGTGAGGCTGGAGAGAAAGGGGACCAGGGGCTTCCGGGCGTGCAGGGCCCCCGTGGCCCCCAGGGAGACCCTGTAAGTATCCTGTCCTGAGCAGGGAAATGTCAGAAGTGGGGGTTGGGGGCGACTGGGGAGGCGGAGGGTGGGGCGTGCCCGGAGCCTGGCTGTGGGGTCAGGGAAACAGTGCAGGTCGTGAGTGGGGGAAGCGGGGGCTGTAATCCGGCGACTTGCGGGTTGGAGGCTGGGTCTAGAATTTGGGGTCTCTGGAGACTTGTCTGGGGTTTGGGGGGTCTCCCTTTGAGGCACCGAAGCCTTGTCGGAGGGACGTCTGGGCAATACGGCTGCACCCCATTAACACGGACCCTCGTGTCCCTTCCCCAGGGGTCTCCTGGCTCTACGGGCTCTGCAGGCCCCCCTGGGCCCCCTGGCGTGGCGGTGAGTATGGGGGGGTTGTAGGACGGGGTCACCGCGGCAGGCCGGGCTGGGACCCAGCCTTCCGTGTCTCCACCCTGCAGGGCCCTGTGGGACCCAAAGGCTCCAAAGGATCCCCGGTGAGTCCCCTCGCTCCGGCCAAGCCCCCGAACCCTCCCTGCCTCCCCCGCAGCCACACCCCAACATTTACCCGACACCCGCTGCCCTTTCGTCAAACCTAAGACGCCCATCGCGTTATTTTATACACTGCTGGGAAAGAAAAGGGCGCTGCTCAGTAAACTGCAACTTCTCCACGATGTGGCCTTGACTTTGGGGACGGGAAATACGGGAAGAAAATGTGGGCGCTGCTGCTTAGCGGGGAGCATGGCCTGGGGCGGTGAGAACGCGCGTGTGTAGGAAGGCGGGGTTCCCACAAACAGGCTTCACCCCAAACTCACTGCTCCTCCAGGGATCCCTTGGTCCTCCCGGCGACACTGGACCCCCAGGGCCCCCCGGCCCCCCGGTGAGTTCCCTGGGGGCACCAGATCTGGGGACAGGGAGGGCGAGACCGTTTTGGGGGTTCCGTGGGGTCTCCCGAGCGCGGCCAGGTGTTCAGGGACCCAGGTGATGGAGAGGTCCTCGAGGGCCCCAGGACATTTGAGCTGCGGGAGGGGACCAGTGGGGAGGTCTTGGCTCTGACTCGGTCCTTGTCTCTGTCTCCACACTCATCCGCTGCTTCATTTCCGCCTCGCCTCTCTTGCCCACCGCTTGTCTCTCGCCCTCCTCTGCCTCGTTGTGTCTCTCTTCATCCCTCCGGGTCCGCCCACCTCTCCACCATGGCCACTCCCCATCGGTGCCCAGGGGCCCCCGGGCGAGCTCCCCGGGCTGCGCAGCCGCAGACGCCGCCGGCGCAGCGCCGTCCCGGAGGGCGGCCTGGAGGAGGTGCTGGCCTCGCTGACGTCGCTGAGCTCGGAGCTGGAGCAGCTGCAGCGACCTCCGGGCACCGCCGAGCGCCCGGGCCTCGTGTGCCACGAGCTGCACCGAAGTCATCCGCACCTGCCCGACGGTGAGGCAAGGTCTGTCCCTCCTGGGGCGGGGAGACCCCACTTCCACTCACCCGGCCCCCCTGGCTCCGCAGGCGATTACTGGATCGACCCAAACCAGGGCTGTGCCCGCGATGCGCTCAGGGTTTTCTGCAACTTCACAGCGGGAGGACAGACTTGCCTGTACCCAGACAAGAGGTTTGAGACGGTGAGCAGGGGAACCGCCGTGGGGCTTGTCCTTCCCCGCTCCAACATTTAGTTTTTCAGTGTAGTTTTTTTTTTGAGACAGAGTTGCCGTGTAGTTCAGGCAGGCCATGAACTCCCAGCAACCCTCCTGCCTCAGCTTCTGGATTGCAGAGTGCTGGAATTGCAGGTGTGCCCCGCCGTACCTGCCTTCCGTCCCCACTTACTGACAGTGTATGTCACCCGGACTGGAAGGACCACAGAGAAAACCCTTGGGCTGGGGGCGCAGAGTGCTTGCAGAGCGCTCCTGTAGAGCAACGCCTGAGGCCCTGGGTTCTAACCCCAGCTGAAAACAGAAAAACAAAACAAAACCTCCCAAAACCTCTGTCCCTTTCTGCAGGGAAGAGAGATTTTAAAAAGAGCAACAACAAACAAATCTGATCTGCTAAGCCAGACACGGGGGCGCACGCCTGCCACCCAGCGCTCTGGGAGGCTGAGGCAGGAGGATTGCAAATTAGAGCTCTACCTGGGCAACTTAGTGACTTAGTGAGACCCTGTCTTGAAATTGAAAAAATAAATAATAGATAAATAAACACATGAATGAACAGGGCTGGGGATGTAGCTCAGGGAGAATGCCCCAGGTTGACTCCCCAGTACTAAAGCAAACACAACGGTGACAAATCCTAAAAAAATTAGCACTTAAAAGTGCTTACGTCCGCCAGGCCTGTTCCAAGGACTTCGCCTGCACATTTATTGCATCCCAGCCACCTGGTGATTGTGGTTGTATCATCAGCCCGCATAGGAGAAACTCAGGCACAGAATAGTATTGAGACTGTCCAAAGCAGTCCGGCTCTAGAGTCCCAGATGACCTTAACCGGCCAGCTGCACTGCTGCCTAACTACTGTCTTGCGGGCCCCAGGGGGCTCGCTGCCTTCAGGCTGCAGGCTGGGAGGTAAGAATGTGCGACCCTCCTGCCTCAGCCTCCTGAGTGCTGTGATTACAGGTGTGCGTCACCACACCATTTTATAAGTCCCCCTGGAAACCCTGGAGTCCTTCACCTGGGAGACCTGAGCCCATGGCCTCCCCACACAAGGGCCAGGTTTAGCAAAAGTGGACAGCGAGGGGTGAGTGGCATTGACTCTAAACCCTGGATGCCCGGGGTTGGAGTTCAGAGCTGTCACCTTGGTTTTTCTGTCTGTAAAATGGAGCTCCAGAAAGTCACCGGGCATGGTGGCACACATCTGTAATCCCAGAACTCAGGAGGCTGAGGCAGGAGTGTCAGGAATTGGAGGCCAGCCTGCGCCATCTAGTGAATTTGAGGCCATCCTGAACTACATAGTGAGACCCTGTCTCACAAAACCAAATAGATAAATAAATAAATAAACAAACAAACAAACCACTAAGACCAGTCATGGTACAAACCTGTAATCACAGCTACTCAGGAGGCTGAGGCAGGAGGACCACAAGTTCAAAGCCAGCCTGAGTACATCAGTAAGACTTTGTTTGAGAGGAAATTTTTTTTTTTTTTTGGTTTTGGTTTTTTTTCTGGTACCGGGAATCCAACTCATGATCTTGCTTTTGCCAGGCAGGCACTGTGCTGCTGAGCTAAATCCCCAGCCCAGTAAGACTTTGTTTGAAAAGAAAATAAAAAGGGTTAGGGATGTAGCAGAGTGGTAGCGCACCTGCCTGGCAGATGGGAATTGTCCCGCTTAGGGCCGAGGGAGCCGGGGGATTTGTCCCCATCCCCTCAGGCATGGGTGAGGGCTGCCTGGGGGGGCAGGAAGCCCCAGCCCCGTGGGTACCACAGGGAGGCCTTGGTCTGTGCCCCCCTGGAGAGGCAATGCCAAGGGACAGGGTGGGCCCCCCGGGGCACCTGCTGCAGTGACCCCACCCCCACCCCCAGGTGAAGCTGGCCTCCTGGTCCAAGGAGAAGCCCGGAAGCTGGTACAGCACCTTCCGGCGGGGGAAGAAGGTGAGGCCTGGGCCGGGTGGCGCTGGGGAGGGGATGGGGGAGGGAGAGAAGGTGCTCACACGTGGGAGGGCCTGAGTGGCATTGGACGCGTGGCACAGGGGGTGTTGGGCACGGCGGAATGCAGAGGCAGGGCTGGGGCTTGGTAGAGCCCACATCTCCGCCGAAGCCCGAAGAGTGAGTTGGGCTCGCAGGTTGCGGGGACAGGGACAACCGTTCCAGGCGAGGCATAGGCAAAGGCCCAAAGGCTAAAGAACATCTGGTGAGCTTTAAGAAAATGCCCCTTGTTCTGCTGTAGGGAGTGGGGAGGAAGGCGCCGAGGAGAAAGGTGGAAGAGGCAGCTGAGGGCCAGGCCGGGGAGGACCCACGGGCAATGGGGAGCCATGGAATGTGCTTGAGTGAGGGAGGGACCCAGATCCAGTCTCCGTGTTAGGAGAATGTGTCTGGGGCTGGTGTGGGTGTGGACTGGAGGCCAGGAGACCCGGGGCAGGGCGGGGGCATGGGTGCAGAAGAGCAAAGGGAGTGTCGGTGGTGGGAATTCAAAGGGCTGGGTGGGAAGAGTGTCTGAGTTCAAGTGAATAGGGCTTTGTAGTTGATTGGGTGGAGGGGAGAGAGGAGCTGGGGCTCCTGGCCTGGGGTCTCTCTCTGGCCCCCCTCAGAGCTGTGTAATGACAGGAGCCGGCCCGAGGGCTGCTGGGTTAAGTTTAGGGTTTGTTTATGTCATGTGGGTGCCCGCCAAGCGCTGTGAAGAGCAGTGAATGAAACACTGCGATTTCATAAAGCTCACACCCTAACCGCAAACACACTGAGCTTTAAAATGACTCGTGGGAGCCCCTCCTGTCAGCCCAGCACGGCACTCGGGAGGCTGAGGCAGGAGGATCTCATGTTCCAGGCCGGCCTTGGGAAACTTAGTGAAACCCTGCCTCATCAAAGGGATGGGGGTGGAGCTCAGTGCGAAGGCGCACCCTCACCCCCCGCCTGGCTGCACCCCAGTTCTTCTACGTGGATGCCGATGGAGCCCCGGTGAGTGTGGTCCAGCTGAACTTCCTGAAGCTGCTGAGCGCCACAGCCGAGCAGCGCTTCACCTTCTCCTGCCAGAACTCGGCCGCCTGGCTGGATGAGGCTGCGGGTGACCACGGCCGCTCGGTCCGCTTCCTGGGCACCAACGGCGAGGAGGTGTCTTTCAACCAGACGGCGGCGGCCACCATCGAGGTCCCCCACGATGGCTGTCGGGTGAGGTGGAAGGGCGGGGTTGTGGAGGGCGGCGAGGTGGGGTCCCGGATACCTGCCCTCTGACGTCCCATCCGTGTCCGCTCCCAGCTCCGCAAGGGCCAGGCGAAGACGGTCCTGCAGCTGCGCTCCTCCCGGCCGGGCTTTCTGCCCCTGCTGGACGTGGCGGCCTCGGACTTCGGCCAGGCGAACCAGAAGTTCGGGTTTGAGCTGGGCCCTGTGTGCTTCAGCGGCTGAGCGCCTGGGGGCGGGAGCAAAGCGAAGGAGCCCCGCGAGGGGCACATTTGGTGCTGAGGCTCACAGCCGCCGTATTTATCGTCTCCTGGGACTCTGCAGCCAGGTGATGGGACTCCGCTTGTCACAGGCACATGACGTCCCTTGTCCCTTCCGGGGGGTGGTGGGAGACAGACGCCCCCACTGGCCCGAGCGCCCGGCCCTGGGTGGCAGCACTGTAGCCCGGCCACACTCCCGTCCCCAGCCCAGAGCCCCCGTGCGGTGAGCTTCTAACTCCGAGCTGACGGATGCCCGTGCCACCCGCCCTCCGCCCGTGCCCTTTGGTGCTACCCTGCCCCTCATAGTTAAGCACTGGATATCCGCTGGCACCAAGCTGGGGCCCCCGCTCGCCCCATTCCCAGGTGGGAGCTCGGTGAAGGGACTGAGTCGGACTCTGCGCCCCCAGCCCCCACCCGCGCCCAGACCCCAAGCCCACCGCGCTGTGCCGGGTGTCGGGCCGAGGCGGGGGCGGGGAGTCAGGATCCTAATGGTGCTGCCCTATTTATCCTGGGTCTGTGCGAAAGGGAAGATCCCCTCCGGTGTGTATTTAATCTGCTTCCTCTTAGGGAAAGCTGGGATAGGAAGGAGATTCCAGCACCCCCTTTCCTCCCACTTCTCCCCACTCACCAGGCCACAGGGCAACGTTGGCATCTCAAGTCTGAGAATAAACCAAGGAACTGTGTTCCTGTCTCTCTCTCTCTTTTTTTTTTTTTGGCAGGACTAGAGATTGAACCCAGGGCCTTCACACTGAGCTGTACCCTCAACCCTTTTTCATTTTTATTTTTTATTTTGAGGCAGGGTCTCACTAATTCACTAAATTACCCAAGCTGGGCTTCAAGTTGAGATCGCCCTGCCTCAGCTGCTCACAGTGCTGAGGTTGCAGGCATGTGCCACCACGCGCAGCTTCCATGCGGACTTGGATTAGTCCAGGAATCTGTGGCTGGTTTGCCCCAGCTGCTGGATCAAGAGGTAACCATCGAGGTAGGCACGGTGGCACATGCCTGTGATCCTAGCACCCTGGGAGGCTGAGGCAAGAAGATCGAATGTTTGAGCCTATCTTGGGCAACTCAGCAACTTGAGACCCTGTCGTAAAATAAGAAACGAGAGGAGGGCCGGGGATGTAAGTCAGTGCAAAGGCCCTGCGTTCAGCCCCTGGCACCACAGAAAAACAAAGCAGGGTTTGGACTGGGCTGTTGGACTGCAGTACAGGAGGGCTGATTTGAGAAGTGGGGTGTGGTGGGAGTGGTGCTGGCAGTTGTGGAGCTGAGCAGAACGTCGGTTAAGATGAGGTTGGGTTTGGGGTAACCTGAATTGAGGGTTCGCCATTGTGCTACAGTTTTAATAGCAGGTTTATTAAGATAGAATTCACATACCGTATCATCTACCCATTTAAAGTGTGTAATTAAATGGCTTTTAGTGTATTCAAACTTGTGTATCCATCACCACAGTCTTTGACTAACCACCATCCCCCGAAGAATTCCCATAGCCAGTACCAGTTGCTCCTATTTCTTCCCAAGCCCATCCCTGGGCGACCCCTCACGGATTCGCCCCTGTGGAGCTTTTGTAAGGGGAGTTGGATAACCCGCAGCCTTTTGTATGGCTGCTTTCCCTTGGTCCGTTTTGTGGCGTGCCTCGGTATTTCATCGGTATTTAATTCCCTTTTCTCTCCCTAGGACTGGGGATTGAACCCGGGGACTTCACATGAGCTCTTTCCCCAGCCCTTTTTATTTGTTATTGTAAGACTGTGTTTCACTGCGTCACTAATTTGCCCAAGCTGGGCTCGAACTTGGGATCCTCCTGCCTCAGCCTCCCAGAGTGCTGGGATTGCAGGTGTGCACCACCACAGCCAGCTACTTCTTTCCTTTTTATTGTCAGTCAAGCTTCCATGGTTTGGCTACACCATGTTTTTATTTATCCTTTTACCAGGTGATAGACAGTGGATGCTGTTGGGTTGAGTTTAGTCAGTAGTGACGGAGGATGTGGGTTGGTTGAGTTGGGCAAAGTGGGGTGGGTAGAGATTTTGGGGTGAGTTTCAGAGGTTGGCAGGTGTGGTGGCTCATACCTGTCATCCCAGCACTCAGGAAGCCGAGGCAGGATGATTGCTGTAAGTTTAAGGCCAGGCTGGGCTACGTGGAGAGACCCTCAAGAAATGAGCAAACAAAACCCAGAGCTTAGCTGGGTGTGGTGGCGCACTCGGGAGGCTGAGGCAGGAGGATCCTTGTGAGTTCGAGACCAGCCTGGGCTACAAAGTGAGCTCAAGGCCAGCCTGAACTGCATAGTGAGACCCTGTCTCAAAAAGCCAAAACAAAACAAAACAAAAACAAAACCCAGAGCTTGCTTCTCCTACTGTTCCTCCAGCAGTTCCCCTGAGGACATCTGAATTCTTGGACTGGGCTCCTTCACTCGTTCAGTCAGTGGTGTTGAGTCCTGACTGGGAGGACCGATGTTGTGCAGAGCTGGTTGATTAGTTCATTCCTTCATTCATTCCATCATTCACGCTCTTGTCCCTTCATTCATTCGGTTCTCGGTGCCATGTACTGGGAATGAGAAACATACGGATGAAGAACTACATGGTGTCTACCTTCAGGACGTTACTCCTTTAAAAAA